CCCCAAAACCCCAAAACCCCAAAACCCCAAAACCCCTCCTCATGCCTCTCTTGGTAATAAATTTAGTTTATATATAAATGTATTGGCAAATACTACAAGAAAATAGTTTTTAGTCTATGTCTTCGAAATAATAAGTCGTGTGATGCTTCTTTATTCCAGGGATCCAGGGAGGGTCAATCCTTTTGGCCTCCAGATCTTCCCATGAAATATCGTTAAACCAGTCATGTTGCTGCACCTCGGAAGTTCCTCCCGCTCCAAGGCGTATATCTTTGTCTTTTGTTAGTAAGGAGCGGATGAAGTCGGTTCATTGGGATGAGTAATCATTCCCATTTTTGAATTCTACCTCATCGTTCGTGATTTTATTTGAAAGAGGTGATGATGTTACGGTCCTCGAAGGGAGTAACATTTTCAAGTAGCTCGTAGATCAAATTGCCTAGACACCACCAATCATAGGTGTGGTTGTAATTTTCTCTTCTAACTCTTTCTGGAGAAAAATATTCTTTAGTGCCTCTTTGCTTTCTTCCAAAGGGAGTATCTATTTCTTCAGTTTTAACTGACATTCCAAAATCGCAAAGGCAAGGGAAGCCTTTCTCGTCAATGAGCACGTTCTCTGGTTTAAGATCTCAGTAGACAATGTCATTTTCATGAACTTTCTTAAGTGCAAGAATGATACAAGCAATATAAAATTTAATAGTTCTTTCCGAAAATTTGAATTTCTTCGATCTTTTGATTAAATTCATATGCATTTTGAGGTCTCCTCCTTGACAAAAATCGAGCAGGATTTTGTACTTCTGCTCCTCCTGAGCTGCATAATGAAATTTTATAATAAACGGGTGACTGAGAGTAGTTAAGAACATCACTTCTCTCTTGAATTCCTCTTCAGCTTTCTTGCAGAATTTTGAACGAGATTGATAAACTTTCTGGGCGAAATTTCTGCCAGTCTCTTGCTCATGTACGAGGGAGATTCTAGCTTGCTTTCCATGACAGAGGTAGGCTTTGTAAGCTAGATTATTTAGTCTTTCAAGGGTCCACTGGTCGTCTAGATCAATAATAGCGTGCTCGTTCAGGTCGATGTCATCATTTTGTTCGGAGATTGTCATAAAAGATCCATCTAAGGTTGATTCCAAGTCATGGTTAAGAGCTTCAAGGTCCTGTTGATTCTTCTTACTATTCAAAGACATCAGGCTCATGGTGATGTGAACAGAGTTTGGCATAATTACTAGTGGCATACTGTATCTTCCCATACCAATATTGGAGCTTAATTTAGAACACCCTGTCCTGGGCGAAACTTTTTGGGAAAAGACCTCTCCTTTTGATAGTTTTTCACTTCAGTTTTCAGGTTGAACCCTGGCTATAAATAGAATTATATTTGAAAATTTCTTACCATCTTTAGAGTGAATGGAATTTTTAGTGAAAATTAGCTTATTTAAAGCTTCTTCGATCAAAAATTGCGGCACAAAATTGCCTTGATAAGTGAAATTTTAGCTACTGGCGGGCCGGTACCCTGCTTAAGACTAAAATTAGGTGATTTCAATTATCTCCTCAGACTTATTTAGTTGTCTTAAGGTATAAATGTGTTCATTTTTCAGAACGAAATGAGTTATAAATGGGAGACATAAATTTGTAGTTGGGAAATAAACTTAATTGGTCGAGAATATGCAATTTCTAAGTTTTTATGAAATTGAGCCTAGTGCAAGTTAGAATACACTCAAAAAGTACCTAATGTTACCATGAATCTTCTGTTTTATAACTAAAATCGCTGAAATGTAGGTATACGTCAAGGCACCGGGTAAACTCAATGCTTGGTCTATGATATATTACCTGAAAGTGATTTCTTCATCATTGTTGGGCTTTGTAAGGTATCCATACACGATGAAATAATAATGATTAAAATACTTAAAAATAATTTAAACACAAATTCCATTTAATCGTTTCATTGAGGGGTTTTGGGGTTTTGGGGTTTTGGGGTTTTGGGGTTTTGGGGTTTTGGGG